GGTACAGAGAGGTGTCCCGCTCCCGGTACAGAGAGGTGTCCCACTCCCGGTACAGAGAGGTGTCCCACTCCCGGTACAGAGAGGTGTCCCGCTCCCGGTACAGAGAGGTGTCCCGCTCCCGGTACAGAGTGTCCCACTCCCGGTACAGAGAGGTGTCCCGCTCCCGGTACAGAGTGTCCCACTCCCGGAACTGAGAGGTGTCCCACTCCCGGTACTGAGAGGTGTCCCACTGCCGGTAAGGAGAGGTGTCCCACTCCCGGTAAAGAGAGGTGTCCCACTCCCGGTACTGAGAGGTGTACCACTCCCGGTTCTGAGAGGTGTCCCGCTCCCGGTACAGAAAGGTGTCCCACTCCCGGTACAGAAAGGTGTCCCACTCCCGGTACAGAAAGGTGTCCCACTCCCAGTACAGAAAGGTGTCCCACTCCCGGTACGTATAAGTGTCCCACTCCTGGTACGTATAAGTGTCCCACTCCCGGTACGTAAAAGTGTCCCACTCCCGGTAAAGAGAGGTGTCCCACTCCCGGTACTGAGAGGTGTCTCACTCCCGGTACAGAGAGGTGTCCCACTCCCGGTACAGAGAGGTGTCCCACTCCCGGTACAGAGAGGTGTCCCACTCCCGGTACAGAGAGGTGTCCCACTCCCGGTACAGAGAGGTGTCTCACTCCCGGTACAGAGAGGTGTCCCACTCCCGGTACAGAGAGGTGTCCCACTCCCGGTACAGAGAGGTGTCCCACTCCCGGTACAGAGAGGTGTCCCGCTCCCGGTACAGAGAGGTGTCCCGCTCCCGGTACAGAGAGGTGTCCCGCTCCCGGTACAGAGAGGTGTCCCGCTCCCGGTACAGAGAGGTGTCCCCGCTCCCGGTACAGAGAGGTGTCCCGCTCCCGGTACAGAGAGGTGTCCCGCTCCCGGTACAGAGAGGTGTCCCGCTCCCGGTACAGAGAGGTGTCCCGCTCCCGGTACAGAGAGGTGTCCCGCTCCCGGTACAGAGAGGTGTCCCGCTCCCGGTACAGAGAGGTGTCCCGCTCCCGGTACAGAGAGGTGTCCCGCTCCCGGTACAGAGAGGTGTCCCGCTCCCGGTACAGAGAGGTGTCCCGCTCCCGGTACAGAGAGGTGTCCCGCTCCCGGTACAGAGAGGTGTCCCGCTCCCGGTACAGAGAGGTGTCCCGCTCCCGGTACAGAGAGGTGTCCCGCTCCCGGTACAGAGAGGTGTCCCGCTCCCGGTACAGAGAGGTGTCCCGCTCCCGGTACAGAGAGGTGTCCCGCTCCCGGTACAGAGTGTCCCACTCCCGGTACAGAGAGGTGTCCCGCTCCCGGTACAGAGAGGTGTCCCACTCCCGGTACAGAGAGGTGTCCCACTCCCGGTACAGAGAGGTGTCCCACTCCCGGTACAGAGAGGTGTCCCACTCCCGGTACAGAGTGTCCCACTCCCGGTACAGAGAGGTGTCCCGCTCCCGGTACAGAGAGTGTCCCACTCTCCGGAACTGAGAGGTGTCCCACTCCCGGTACTGAGAGGTGTCCCACTGCCGGTAAGGAGAGGTGTCCCACTCCCGGTACTGAGAGGTGTCCCACTCCCGGTACTGAGAGGTGTCCCACTCCCGGTTCTGAGAGGTGTCCCGCTCCCGGTACAGAAAGGTGTCCCACTCCCGGTACAGAAAGGTGTCCCACTCCCGGTACAGAAAGGTGTCCCACTCCCAGTACAGAAAGGTGTCCCACTCCCGGTACGTATAAGTGTCCCACTCCTGGTACGTATAAGTGTCCCACTCCCGGTACGTATAAGTGTCCCACTCCCGGTACGTATAAGTGTCCCACTCCCGGTACGTATAAGTGTCCCACTCCCGGTACATATAGGTGTCCCACTCCCGGTACGTATAGGTGTCCCACTCCCGGTACGTATAGGTGTCCCACTCCCGGTACGTATAGGTGTCCCACTCCCGGTAGGGAGAGGTGTCCCACTCCCGGTACATATAGGTGTCCCACTCCCGGTACGGAGAGGTGTCCCACTCCCGGTAGGGAGAGGTGTCCCACTCCCGGTACGGAGAGGTGTCCCACTCCCGGTAGGGAGAGGTGTCCCACTCCCGGTAGGGAGAGGTGTCCCACTCCCGGTAGGGAGAGGTGTCCCACTCCCGGTAGGGAGAGGTGTCCCACTCCCGGTAGGGAGAGGTGTCCCACTCCCGGTAGGGAGAGGTGTCCCACTCCCGGTAGGGAGAGGTGTCCCACTCCCGGTAGGGAGAGGTGTCCCACTCCCGGTAGGGAGAGGTGTCCCACTCCCGTAGGGAGAGGTGTCCCACTCCCGGTAGGGAGAGGTGTCCCACTCCCGGTAGGGAGAGGTGTCCCACTCCCGGTAGGGAGAGGTGTCCCACTCCCGGTAGGGAGAGGTGTCCCACTCCCGGTAGGGAGAGGTGTCCCTCTCCCGGTAGGGAGAGGTGTCCCACTCCCGGTAGGGAGAGGTGTCCCACTCCCGGTAGGGAGAGGTGTCCCACTCCCGGTAGGGAGAGGTGTCCCACTCCCGGTACGTATAGGTGTCCCACTCCCGGTACGTATAGGTGTCCCACTCCCGGTACGTATAGGTGTCCCACTCCCGGTAGGGAGAGGTGTCCCACTCCCGGTACATATAGGTGTCCCACTCCCGGTACGGAGAGGTGTCCCACTCCCGGTAGGGAGAGGTGTCCCACTCCCGGTACGGAGAGGTGTCCCACTCCCGGTAGGGAGAGGTGTCCCACTCCCGGTAGGGAGAGGTGTCCCACTCCCGGTAGGGAGAGGTGTCCCACTCCCGGTAGGGAGAGGTGTCCCACTCCCGGTAGGGAGAGGTGTCCCACTCCCGGTAGGGAGAGGTGTCCCACTCCCGGTAGGGAGAGGTGTCCCACTCCCGGTAGGGAGAGGTGTCCCACTCCCGGTAGGGAGAGGTGTCCCACTCCCGGTAGGGAGAGGTGTCCCACTCCCGGTAGGGAGAGGTGTCCCACTCCCGGTAGGGAGAGGTGTCCCTCTCCCGGTAGGGAGAGGTGTCCCACTCCCGGTAGGGAGAGGTGTCCCACTCCCGGTAGGGAGAGGTGTCCCACTCCCGGTAGGGAGAGGTGTCCCACTCCCGGTAGGGAGAGGTGTCCCACTCCCGGTACGGAGAGGTGTCCCACTCCCGGTACGGAGAGGTGTCCCACTCCCAGTGGGGAGTGGGGCACCGGTGGGGAGTGGGGCACGGAGAGGTGCCCCACTCCCGGTACGGAGAGGTGCCCCACTCCCGGTACAGAGAGGTGCCCCATTCCCGGTACAGAGAGGTGCCCCACTCCCGGTACAGAGAGGTGCCCCACTCCCGGTACAGAGAGGTGCCCCACTCCCGGTACAGAGAGGTGCCCCACTCCCGGTACAGAGAGGTGCCCCACTCCCGGTACAGAGAGGTGCCCCACTCCCGGTACAGAGAGGTGCCCCACTCCCGGTACAGAGAGGTGCCCCACTCCCGGTACAGAGAGGTGCCCCACTCCCGGTACAGAGAGGTGCCCCACTCCCGTACAGAGAGGTGCCCCACTCCCGGTACAGAGAGGTGCCCCAATCCCGGTACAGAGAGGTGCCCCACTCCCGGTACAGAGAGGTGCCCCACTCCCGGTACAGAGAGGTGCCCCACTCCCGGTACAGAGAGGTGCCCCACTCCCGGTACAGAGAGGTGCCCCACTCCCGGTACAGAGAGGTGCCCCACTCCCGGTACAGAGAGGTGCCCCACTCCCGGTACAGAGAGGTGCCCCGCTCCCGGTACAGAGAGGTGCCCCGCTCCCGGTACAGAGAGGTGCCCCGCTCCCGGTACAGAGAGGTGTCCCGCTCCCGGTACAGAGAGGTGTCCCGCTCCCGGTACAGAGTGTCCCACTCCCGGAACTGAGAGGTGTCCCACTCCCGGAACTGAGAGGTGTCCCACTCCCGGTACGGAGAGGTGTCCCACTCCCGGTACGGAGAGGTGTCCCACTCCCGGTACGGAGAGGTGTCCCACTCCCGGTACGGAGAGGTGTCCCACTCCCGGTACGGAGAGGTGTCCCACTCCCGGTACGGAGAGGTGTCCCACTCCCGGTACGGAGAGGTGTCCCACTCCCGGTACGGAGAGGTGTCCCACTCCCGGTACAGAGGTGTGTCCCACTCCCGGTACAGAGGTGTGTCCCACTCCCGGTACAGAGGTGTGTCCCACTCCCGGTACAGAGGTGTGTCCTACTCCCGGTACAGAGGTGTCCCACTCCCGGTACATATAGGTGTCCCACTCCCGGTACATATAGGTGTCCCACTCCCGGTACAGAGAGGTGCCCCACTCTCGGTACAGAGAGGTGTCCCACTCTCGGTACAGAGAGGTGTCCCACTCCCGGTACAGAGAGGTGCTCGATCGATCCACTCTCGGTACAGAGGTGTCCCACTCCCGGTACAGAGGTGTCCCACTCCCGGTACAGAGAGGTGCTCCACTCCCGGTACAGAGAGGTGTCCCACTCCCGGTACACAGGTGTCCCACTCCCGGTACACAGGTGTCCCACTCCCGGTACAGAGGTGCCCCACTCTCGGTACAGAGAGGTGTCCCACTCTCGGTACAGAGGTGTCCCACTCCCGGTACAGAGGTGTGTCCCACTCCCGGTACATAGGTGCCCCACTCTCGGTACAGAGAGGTGTCCCACTCTCGGTACACAGGTGTCCCACTCCCGGTACAAAGGTGTGTCCCACTCCCGGTACAGAGAGGTGCCCGACTGTCGGTACAGAGAGGTGTCCCACTCCCGGTACAGAGAGGTGCCCGACTGTCGGTACAGAGAGGTGTCCCACTCCCGGTACAGAGAGTCCTGGACCGAATGTCCCCCTCACACTGGACCAAGGGGAGGGGGAAGGGGGGGGGATGCGGGGTCGTCCAGTCGATGGAGTTTTGTAGTAATTAGCAATTAGCAATTAACCTGCCTGTTATGTACCCGGGCCACTGGCCCAAACTGTTTCTATAATTAATGCGATTATTTTTATTTAATATTTTTACCTTGAAAAACTTGTAGTTAATTTCAGTGGGTGGAAATTGTGAACTGAAGTGGCTGATGTTGAGGGTTGATGTTGGGGGCTGGAGTGGTTGATGTTGAGGGCTGTAGTGGTGGATGTTGAGGGCTGGAGTGGTGGATGTTGAGGGCTGGAGTGGTTGATGATGAGGGCTGGAGTGGTGGATGTTGAGGGCTGGAGTGGTTGATGTTGAGGGCTGGAGTGGTGGATGTTGAGGGCTGGAGTGGTTGATGTTGAGGGCTGGAGTGGTGGATGTTGAGGGTGGAGTGGTTGATGTTGGGGGCTGGAGTGGTTGATGTTGAGGGCTGTAGTGGTGGATGTTGAGGGCTGGAGTGGTGGATGTTGAGGGCTGTAGTGGTGGATGTTGAGGGCTGGAGTGGTGGATGTTGAGGGCTGGAGTGGTTGATGATGAGGGCTGGAGTGGTTGATGATGAGGGCTGGAGTGGTGGATGTTGAGGGCTGGAGTGGTTGATGTTGAGGGCTGGAGTGGTGGATGTTGAGGGCTGGAGTGGTGGATGTTGAGGGCTGGAGTGGTGGATATTGAGGGCTGGAGTGGTTGATGTTGAGGGCTGGAGTGGTGGATATTGAGGGCTGGAGTGGTTGATGTTGAGGGCTGGAGTGGTGGATGTTGAGGGCTGGAGTGGTTGATGTTGAGGGCTGTAGTGGTGGATGTTGAGGGCTGGAGTGGTGGATGTTGAGAGCTGGAGTAGTGGATGTTGAGGGCTGGAGTGGTTGATGTTGAGGGCTGGAGTGGTGGATGTTGAGGGCTGGAGTGGTGGATGTTGAGGGCTGTAGTGGTGGATGTTGAGGGCTGGAGTGGTGGATGTTGAGGGCTGGAGTAGTGGATGTTGAGGGCTGGAGTGGTGGATGTTGAGGGCTGGAGTGGTGGATGTTGAGGGCTGGAGTGGTGGATGTTGAGGGCTGGAGTGGTGGATGTTGAAGCCTGGAGTGGTGGATGTTGAGGGTGGATGTTGAGGGCTGGAGTGGTGGATGTTGAGGGCTGGAGTGGTGGATGTTGAGGGCTGGAGTGGTGGATGTTGAGGGCTGGAGTGGTGGATGTTGAGGGCTGGAGTGGTGGATGTTGAGGGCTGGAGTGGTGGATGTTGAGGGCTGGAGTGGTTGATGAAGAGGGTGGATGTTGAGGGTTGGAGTGGTGGATGTTGAGGGCTAGAGTGGTGGATGTTGAGGGCTAGAGTGGTGGATGTTGTGGCCTGGAGTGGTGGATGTTGAGGGCTGGAGTGGTGGATGTTGAGGGCTGGAGTGGTGGATGTTGAGGGCTGGAGTGGTGGATGTTGAGGCCTGGAGTGGTGGATGTTGAGGGCTGGAGTGGTGGATGTTGAGGGCTGGAGTGGTGGATGTTGAGGGCTGGAGTGGTGGATGTTGAGGGCTGGAGTGGTGGATGTTGAGGGCTGGAGTGGTGGATGTTGAGGGCTGGAGTGGTTGATGTTGAGGGTTGGAGTGGATGATGATGAGGGCTGGAGTGGTTGATGAAGAGGGTGGATGTTGAGGGTTGGAGTGGTGGATGTTGAGGGCTAGAGTGGTGGATGTTGAGGGCTAGAGTGGTGGATGTTGAGGGCTGGAGTGGTGGATGTTGAGGGCTGGAGTGGTGGATGTTGAGGGCTGGAGTGGTGGATGTTGAGGGCTGGAGTGGTGGATGTTGAGGGCTGGAGTGGTTGATGTTGAGGGCTAAAGTGGTGGATGTTGATGCCTGGAGTGGTGGATGTTGAGGGCTAGAGTGGTGGATGTTGAGGGCTAGAGTGGTGGATGTTGAGGGCTGGAGTGGTTGATGTTGAGGGCTGGAGTGGTGGATGTTGAGGGCTAGAGTGTTTGATGTTGAGGGCTGGAGTGGTTGATGTTGAGGGTTGGAGTAGTTGATGAAGTGGGCTGGAGTGGTTGATGAAGAGGGTGGATGTTGAGGGCTGGAGTGGTGGATGTTGAGGGCTAGAGTGGTGGATGTTGAGGGCTGGAGTGTTGGATGTTGTGGCCTGGAGTGGTGGATGTTGAGGCCTGGAGTGGTGGATGTTGAGGGCTGGAGTGGTTGATGAAGAGGGTGGATGTTGAGGGCTGGAGTGGTGGATGTTGAGGGCTAGAGTGGTGGATGTTGAGGCCTGGAGTGGTGGATGTTGAGGCCTGGAGTGGTGGATGTTGAGGGCTAGAGTGGTGGATGTTGAGGGCTAGAGTGGTGGATGTTGAGGGCTAGAGTGGTGGATGTTGAGGGCTAGAGTGGTGGATGTTGAGGGCTAGAGTGGTGGATGTTGAGGGCTAGAGTGGTGGATGTTGAGGGCTAGAGTGGTGGATGTTGAGGCCTGGAGTGGTGGATGTTGAGGGCTGGAGTGGTGGATGTTGAGGGCTGGAGTGGTGGATGTTGAGGGCTGGAGTGGTAGATGTTGAGGACTGGAGTGGTGGATGTTGAGGGCTGGAGTGGTAGATGTTGAGGACTGGAGTGGTGGATGTTGAGTGCTGGAGTGGTTGATGTTGAGGGCTGGAGTGATTGATGTTGAGGGCTGGAGTGGTTGATGTTGAGGGCTGGAGTGGTTGATGTTGAGGGCTGGAGTTGTTGATGTTGAGGGCTGTAGTGGTGGATGTTGAGGGCTGGAGTGGTGGATGTTGAGGGCTGGAGTGGTTGATGTTGAGGGCTGGAGTGGTTGATGTTGAGGGCTGGAGTGGTTGATGTTGAGGGCTGGAGTGGTCGATGTTGAGGGCTGGAGTGGTTGATGTTGAGGGCTGGAGTGGTTGATGTTGAGGGCTGGAGTGGTTGATGTTGAGGGCTAGAGTGGTTGATGTTGAGGGCTGGAGTGGTTGATGTTGAGGGCTGGAGTGGTTGATGTTGAGGGCTGGAGTGAGTGTTCACGTGTTCATTATACTGTGTTCACGTGTTCATTATACTGTGTTCACGTGTTCATTATACCGTGTTCACGTGTTCATTATACCGTGTTCACGTGTTCATTATACCGTGTTCACGTGTTCATTATACCGTGTTCACGTGTTCATTATTCCGTGTTCACGTGTTCATTATACCGTGTTCACGTGTTCATTATACCGTGTTCACGTGTTCATTATACCGTGTTCACGTGTTCATTATACCGTGTTCACGTGTTCATTATACTGTGTTCACGTGTTCATTATACTGTGTTCACGTGTTCATTATACCGTGTTCACGTGTTCATTATACCGTGTTCACGTGTTCATTATACCGTGTTCACGTGTTCATTATACCGTGTTCACGTGTTCATTATACTGTGTTCACGTGTTCATTATACTGTGTTCACGTGTTCATTATACTGTGTTCACGTGTTCATTATACTGTGTTCACGTGTTCATTATACTGTGTTCACGTGTTCATTATACCGTGTTCACGTGTTCATTATACCGTGTTCACGTGTTCATTATACTGTGTTCACGTGTTCATTATACTGTGTTCACGTGTTCATTATACTGTGTTCACGTGTTCATTATACAGTCTCTACATATTTCCTACGTTCTTAAAATATCTTTAACATCAGATAATTAATTCAGTTTATTAATATATTAAGACTCGTGTACTTGTAGGGTGTCTGGCCGGGTCAGGTGGGCCCCTCACTCTCCTCTCTCACTCATACTCCCTCACACACCTGCTTCTCTCTCTCCTCCCTCACACACACTTTCCGCCCTCACACACCTGCTTCTCTCTCTCCTCCTCACACACACTTTCCGCCCTCACACCCTCACACACCTGCTTCTCTCTCTCCTCCTCACACACACTTCCCTCCCTCACACCCTCACACACCTGCTTCTCTCTCTCCTCCTCACACACACTTCCCTCCCTCACACCCTCACACACCTGCTTCTCTCTCTCCTCCTCACACACACTTCCCTCCCTCACACCCTCACACACCTGCTTCTCTCTCTCTCTCCTCCCACACACACTTCCCTCCCTCACACCCTCACACACCTGTTTCTCTCTCTCCTCCTCACACACACTTCCCTCCCTCACACCCTCACACACCTGCTTCTCTCTCTCCTCCTCACACACACTTTCCTCCCTCACACCCTCACACACCTGTTTCTTTCTCTCCTCCTCACACACACTTTCCTCCCTCACACCCTCACACACCTGCTTCTCTCTCTCCTCCTCACACACACTTTCCTCCCTCACACCCTCACACACCTGTTTTCTTTCTCTCCTCCTCACACACACTTTCCTCCCTCACACCCTCACACACCTGTTTCTCTCTCTCTCTCCTCACACACACTTTCCTCCCTCACACCCTCACACACCTGTTTCTTTCTCTCCTCCTCACACACACTTCCCTCCTCACACACTCACACACACCTGTTTCTCTCTCCTCACACACACTTCCCTCCCTCACACCCTCACACACCTGCTTCTCTCTCTCCTCCTCACACACACTTCCCTCCCTCACACCCTCACACACCTGTTTCTCTCTCCTCACACACACTTCCCTCCCTCACACCCTCACACACCTGCTTCTCTCTCTCCTCCTCCCTCACACTTCCTCCCTCACACCCTCACACACCTGCTTCTCTCTCCCCTCCTCCCTCACTCTCCCTCACCTTTCCTCCTTGCCCAGTTTTGTGTTGTATAAGTATTAAGATATAAACAATAAGAACTCATGAAAGAATGCGAGAAAACATTGCCTCTTTTATGGAGTTAAATTAGATTATAGATTGTGGATTTGATTATAGAGATTTACAATGAACACTGCCTGTTGGGACGATATAATCTGCTTCCTGTCGCTGCCTGAACCCTATCACTCTCATGCAAGCATTGGACTAAATAGTTATCTTGAGGTTATCTTGAGATAATTTCGGGGCTTTAGTGTCCCCGCGGCCCGGTCCTCGACCAGGCCTCCACCCCCAGGACGCAGCCCGTGACAGCTGACTAACTCCCAGGTACCTATTTACTGCTAGGTAACAGGGGCATTCAGGGTGAAAGAAAAACTTGCCCACATTTGTTTCTGCCTCGTGCGGGAATCGAACCCGCGCCACAGAATTACGAGTCCTGCGCGCTATCCACCAGGCTACGAGGCCCCCTTTACGAGGCGAGTTACTCATATATGTGCTCTGATTAACATATGTGCTGTGCCAGACTTAGAGTGTGTGCTCTGATTACCGGCCAGGCCGTTAACGAGGCAGTTAACGAGGTGTCTAACTACCTGTATGACTATTGAGCTGACTTGTTCCGAGTTCTGTGTGGAACACTGAGACGTCAGTGTGTGCACCTCAGCTCTGTTGCTCCCAATTGCCACTGTCAGTGTGCAGCACTGTCTGTGTGCAAGTCTGCTGCAGCACAGGCTTGCACTCTAGTTAATTAATTGATATAGTAGTGTGCAGCACTGGTCATGTGTGCAGCATCAGTCAGTGTGTGTCACTGGTTAGTGTCCTGCAGCAATGCAGCAGTGCACTGTCAGTCAAAGTCAGTGTGTGCAGCATTGTGTTAGTGTGTACTGCAGGCTGTCAGTGTGTGCAGCACTGTTAGTGTGTGCACCAGTGTTAGTGTGTGCAGCACTGTTAGTGTGTGCAGCACTGTCAGCACGCAGCACTGTCAGTGTGTGTGCAGCAATGTTAGTGTGTGTGTGCAGCACTGTTGTGTGTGTGTCCAGCACTGTCAGTGTGTGCAGCACTGTTAGTGTGTGCAGCACTGTCAGTGTGTGCAGCACTGTCAGTGTGTGCAGCACTGTTAGTGTGTGCAGCACTGTTAGTGTGTCTTAGTTCAGCACTGTCAGTGTGTGCAGTGTGTCAGTGTGTTGTTGTGTTGTGCAAGCACTGTCAGTGTGTGCAGCACTGTGCAGTGGGTGCAGCACTGTCAGTGTGTGCAGCACTGTCAGTGTGTGCAGCACTGTCAGTGTGTGCAGCACTGTCAGTGTGTGCAGCACTGTCAGTGTGTGCAGCACTGTCAGTGTGTGCAGCACTGTCAGTGTGTGCAGCACTGTCAGTGTGTGCAGCACTGTTAGTGTGTGCAGCACTGTTAGTGTGTGCAGCACTGTCAGTGTGTGCAGCACTGTTAGTGTGTGCAGCACTGTCAGTGTGTGCAGCACTGTCAGTGTGTGCAGCACTGTTAGTGTGTGCAGCACTGTTAGTGTGTGCAGCACTGTCAGTGTGTGCAGCACTGTCAGTGAGTGCAGCACTGTTAGTGTGTGCAGCACTGTCATGTGTGCACACTGTCAGTGTGTGCAGCACTGTCAGTGTGTGCAGCACTGTCATGTGTGCAGCACTGTCGTGTGTGCAGCACTGTCAGTGAGTGCAGCACTGTCAGTGTGTGCAGCACTGTTAGTGTGTGCAGCACTGTCAGTGTGTGCAGCACTGTCAGTGTGTGCAGCACTGTCAGTGTGTGCAGCACTGTCAGTGTGTGCAGCACTGTCAGTGTGTGCAGCACTGCCAGTGTGTGCAGCACTGTCAGTGTGTGCAGCACTGTCAGTGTGTGCAGCACTGTTAGTGTGTGCAGCACTGTTAGTGTGTGCAGCACTGTTAGTGT